CAAAATAATTGCCAAGTGAGGTATCTACCCTCATAACAACAGACAATCAGCTGTCTTCTTCTTCTTTTTCTTCATATATAGAGATTTTTGCTATAAGGTGTATGCACTTGCCAGAGAGAAACAAGAGGGGCAGAAAGTGAGAAATCACTCCCTGGGGGGATGACCATGCTACAGTTTCTTCTTCTTCACTCTCCTCTTGGGATTTTGGGCTCACATGTACATGCACCCGGTGTGAGTTTAAGCTGCTGGGTCCGGGACTTGAACCACAGTCAACTACGTGGGAATCCAACGACGTAACCATTATGCCATCTGCGGTCCCAAGAATCAGCTGTCTCCTCTCAGGGTGAGTCTCAGACTTCCTGCCTTTACACGGTCTGTCTCATTGGTACTCTTCCTCAGCTTTCACCTCTTTGGTTCATCACTATGAGTACCTTCTTAATCCTAGTATCTACCATGACCACTAAGACTGAGGAAAAAGGCACAGATGAATGGACTGAAAAACTGTAGCACATATACTCTATGGAATACTACTCAGCCACAGAAAACAAGACCCTGACTTTTTAGAGAAAGTGGCTGAATATGGAAGATTTACTGCTGAGTGAAGCCAGGCTATGAAAGAGAGAGATTGTATGTCTCCACTTAATATATACTGAGTGTCTGCACTGTATGATTGAAACTGATTGACTAAAGGATATAGAAACACAGTAAATGGTTGTGAATACCAGATATAGTATGGGAAGAGGGTGGGTGAAAGAGTAGAGTCTGAAGAAGGACATTTAGAAGAGAAATAGAGAGGCAAAACATTAATGGGACAAAGAAATGGGTAATTATCTGTTGAAGATAACTTTATAGTATTATCAACTGGACTAGGGAGAAATGTACAAATGTTGGAATATTCACTTTCCAAGCTAAATAACATGATTGAATGTATAAAATAACTTGAAATAAAAAAATTTTTAAAAATTTAAAAATGAGGAAACAAACAAAAAAATTGTTTTTATATTTTACTTTTTGCCATAGGGTATGAGTGCTCATTTGAGAGTGACAGTGAGAAGGAAAGTGAGAAATCACCTCCCAGGGGGGATGGCCATGCCACAATCTCTTCTCCATCCTCCTCCTGGGATTCTGGGCACGCACATGCACGTGCCTGGCATGATTTCCAAGCCACCAAGTCTGGGACTTGAACTATGGTTGGCCATGTGGGATCCAGCAGCACCTTAACCACCATGCTACCTGCTGGCCCCAGGGACACATCTTTGACATCAAGGGAAACACTCAGTTTCTGGCGAGCAAATCTCCTACTGCCCGTAGCAACCTCATCCCTCAATAGGATTCCCTGTGACCTGCTGAAGAATCAGGCATCTACCGTATTCTTGTAAGAATCTTAAGCTGACCAGGCATATTTCTTATTTATTCCCAAAATAAGCCTCTCTGAAAGTCACATAATCAACTGGAAGGCAAATTAAATACAAATCTGTCACATAATAAAAACAAAAATGAAAGAGCTCTTTTAATAGATACCTAGGATGTGTCTGTGGCCCTCTTCTCTTTGTGAGTATGAACCTCATGATAAAATTGGACCCCGAGACCTCAAATAATAACCAAAGTAAGTATAAGGCTGTGTGAATGAAGACACTAAAAACCAAGTGTAGTTTACCTCATAAGTATATGTTAGTAGCTTTTGTGTCTAAACAGAGAACAGGGAATATTTTTTTAAAAAAAGAATTCTCGATTTAATTTTATTGAATTATTATTATTATTTAATTTGCTATAGGGCATGTGCACGAGAGAGAGAGAGAGAGAAACTGAAAAAGTAAGCTGCCAGGTCTGGAACTTGAACCACATTTGGCCATGTGGGAGTACAGTGCCTTAACCACCATGCTACTTACTGGCCCCCCAAATAGGATTTTTTTTTTTCTTTGAGAGGTTTTTGCTTATAGGGTGTATGCACTCGCCAGAAAGAGAGAGAGAGACATAGAGACAGAAAGCGAGAAATCGCCCCCCAGGGGGGATGGCCATGCCGCAATCCCTTCTCCTCCATTCTCCTCTCGGGATCTTGGGCACGCATGCACACGTGCCAGGTGTGACTTTCAAGCCCCCGGATCTAGGACACGAATCGTGTTCTGCCTTGTGGGAAGCCCGTTACGTGGAAGTCCAGCACCTAACCCTCCATGCCACCTGCTGGCCCCAGACAAGTGATTTTTAATTTTCTTCCTTGTGCTTATTTTTATTCCCACTTTCAAAAATGATAACAGTGTTCGACATGGACATCTCCAGCCTTTGTGTGACACAGTGCAACTTTCACTTACTTGAAAACCTGAGCTCATGGAGGGAAATGAAGGTGGGATGTGCAGAGTACTGGACTATGCAGGAAAGGCAGAGGCACTCGTAAGCCAGGGACTGGGAACGGCTTTCTGAGTGAGCAGGAAGGGATGTGTGGTGGGCAAGTCCTGAAAAGTACCTGCAACTGACAGAGGATTTGCCAGTAAACCCTAACATACGTATGGAGAATACATGTAGAGAAGCTGGCATTTAATTTAAGAAGCAATATTTCAGAAATAGAGAGGACAGAAATATTTCAGCCAGGAAGTGTGGAAGGTAAGGCAGCTGGAGCCCACATGGCAGACTGCGCAGCTAGAATCCAGAACCCGGTGGCTTGAAAAACATGCCAGGTGCATGTGTGTGTGCCTCAAATCCCAAGTGGAGAACAGGGAAGAGGGGATGGCAGTGTCGTCATCCCCACTGAGGGGTGCCTTCTCACATTCTCTCTCTCTCCCTCCCTCCTCTATCTCTCTGGTGAGCACATGCACCTTACAGCAAATTTAAAAAAGAAAAAAAGAAATAGAAAAAAATAAACTGCAAGAGAAAAGTGGTTAATGGTGACTGCTATCAACTGGCTGTTATGAACAAGCTGTCAATGTTCTTGACTAAAAGAGATGAACAGGCCTTTTTCCTTTCCTTTTAAATTTGCCAGAGGGCATGTACATACACCAGAGAGACAGAGAGGGGGAGATGGAGGGAGCATCGCCCATGGGGAATGGCCACTCCGTAAGCCCTTATCTTTCACTTCTCCCTCCTTCCAGGATCTGGGGCATACAGAACACACATGCTGGAGTGTTTTTCAAGCCGCTGGGTCTAGGACTTGAACCTCTGGGTCGGCCATGTGGGATCCTGCTAGGCCACTGGCTAGCCTGATGAACAGACTTAGAAGGTAGGGTCAAGGAGTACAAAATTCAGTTATATAATAAACAGAATCTCGTAGGTTTGTATTTTTCCTCTCCAGAATTTCTTAATGAGAGAACTCATTAAAAACAAAAGTCATTTATGTAAAGTTACAAAGACACGTATCAAAAGGCTTAAAAATAACACGTCTTTTGATCTTTTCCAGGAATTCATCCAGGACTAATTAAAGATGTGTGCAAAATTAAAGTAATAGACAAATGTTTATTGCAAAATGTCTCATAACCATTAGAAATGCCAAGTGGGTAAAAGCTGGTAGTGTGGTGGTGGAGGCAGTTGAAAATGCAGTAGAAGGTAATGGGGAAAGTTTATATATGAAGTGAAAAAAATGTTATAAAACAGCATGATTCCATTTTTCTTTTAAGTACACATACACTAAGACACTAACATAATATAAATTGAAAATATTAGTAGAGGTTATTAGGAAACTGATGGGATCATAAATTAATTAAACTTAAAAAGGTACCTATATTTTCCAAATTTAATACATATATTACTTCCATTATCAAAAAAATAAATGAAAGAGAATATAAATGAGGTTATAAAGAATACCAGGTCCATGTGTTCCCTTTCCTTCATAAGCATAACACTTGGCCTAGCGGTTAGGAAAACCGGATCTGACATGGTCAACCGTGTGGTTTTAGTCTGGACCTGGTGGTCTGAAAAACACACTGAGGGGACCAGCAGTTAGTATAATGGCTATGTCGCTGGACTCCCATGTAGTTGACTGTGGTTCGAGTCTCAGACCCGGTGGCTTAAAACTCACGCCGGGCGTGTGTGCGTGCCTGCCCAAGATCCCGAGAGGAGAATGGAGGAGAAGGGATTGCGGCATGGCCATCCCCTCTGGGGGGTGATTTCTTGCCTTCTGTCTCTGTCTCTCTCTGTCTGTCTGGTGAGCTCACTCGCTCTATAGCAAAAACCTCTCCAAAAAAAAAAAAAGAAAAGAAAAGAAAAAACCACACCAAACACAAGTGCCTATATGCCCAAAGTCCCAGAGGGATGGAGAAGTAGAGGCAGGAGGACTGAGGCATGACTCTGCACCCCGCTTTTCTTCTCCCTCTTTCTCTCTCTATCTTTGGTAAGCACATACACCTTCAGGTCAGAAAAAAAAAAAATAGGAAAGAAAAAGCATAGCACTTGAATTGGAATATTAATATACACCTTATACAATGCCGGAAGTTAAAAGCTTACTTTTAAACATGCACCCACAACTGGGTTTATTCGTAAATTATATATCCAAACAACTACATTAAAATATCCAGTATATTTGAAAAGATTCAGGAATATAGACATTTTAAAAGAAGAGATGATATAAACAGGAATTCTAGTATATTTTCTTTTCAGAACCTCATGGGTTGTCTTAGGTGTTGTTACAAGTTGTTACTTTGGAAACCACTGGATGGGACAACCACCAAAGACTCACTATAGGAATCTGTTCTAGTAGGCCATCTATAGACGGATGGTATTCACCCGGCACTGGCTCGTTCATTTTGCCTCAGGCCAGAAGT